GTCAACACCTGTATGAACTAACGCATATTCACACTGTGTGTAAAGTACATTTGCTATGGGTCACGCAACAGATAATTGGTTTAGCAACAATAGATCAGTTGCTGGTAAATCATCAAAACTGAGGAAAACAAGTTGAACATACGTGAGCGCTGCTGGTGTGCGTGAAGTTAAAATGTTGAATTTGTGAAAAACAAATTTGCTGCCTTGTAGCGTTTGGAACTACATCACACAGCTCAAACAAAGGAAGCAGCAGTGAGTGCGGATGGTTTATCTCACATCATCTGTAGAGTACAAGTCAATTAGGAACTGCATTTAAGTCTGATTTTGATCTATAAAATCGGTTTTTGGCCACTTAGTGCCAAAAACTGAGTAGGGGCAGGGTTTGGTTGGTGTCTACTCCTTTGTGAAAGAAAAGAGAAACTGTAAACCACAGCGTGTGAGGCTTAATTTGAAATGTAATATCTTCTATTTTGAAAATATGCATATGTGGCTAAAACCAATTCCATTTGTTTGAAGTCGTGTTTTTGACATCTTAGCAAATGTATGGCTAATCTTCTTTTACCTCTGTTTTGGTGTTCATCAGCTCATGTGGCAATAATAATTACAGGGCACTTTTTGACCAAAACAAAGATGGTTGCTCAAGCAACACAACACAAACCATAAAATGTTTCCCTGGAAGCTAAATGCTTCACTGGATGTGTTCACCAATCAGTTGGCGAAATAATGAAAGTTCAAGTATTAACCAGTGTCACGCAGGTCATGTGTAACCCAAAAGGCTTAATGTGAGTTGCAGATGACAAATTCATCCGACCTTTCTGACCTGGTTTTCTATTACAAATTACAAATTGTAAATTTAAAACACATTTCCCAGAATGCCTGAGTATGATGTTTCACTGGTATAGTATTTCTCTCGCTTTCACTCTCTGTTACCTCTCATTGTCAGGAATTCTGAAGGATGAGGTCATTGCTTTCTTACTGTTGTGTTACATACAGCAGATGTCCTGCATGCCTTGTCTAATGTCAGCCCACCACTCAGAGGAGCCAAATCTTTGCTTTGGTTCTTTCAAAGGACTTCTTTAAAGAATTTAAGCACAGCAGTGTTTAATTTTGTTGCTATATTTGTCTTACCAGCCACTGGGGGCACAATATGGGTAGGAAGGACAGTAAGTGGAGGAACTGGTAAAGGGATGACGTAGTGTTTGGAGATGGTGGTACTAACAAAAAGACAGGAGGCAGAACTGGAGGAAGATGCTAAGACTTTGGGGGGAATGACCGGGAGCAACAAATTTAGAGCGACAAGGCTTAGGTGGTTTATCCATGGGAATGTGTGGGCGTGGTGTTGTCTTCTCCCTCTCCTCCTCCTTCGTTCTGGCCCCTCCCCTTGTCTCTCTCTGCCCCTGCCTTCTCCTTTAGGTCACACCTGCTGCTCATCTGCTCTCGTTACAACCAATTACCCTCAGGGGTGATATAAGCTGGAGAAGAGCAGTGTGGAAGAGGAGGGAGAGGTTTCTGGTGGATTTCCTCTGTGCTGGTCAGAGTGTGCTACTGGCTTAGGTGTGGAACAGCCTGCTGTGTATGACCAGCCTTCTGGTGTGTGGCTCTTTGTGAGTAAGGCTTAACTGAGCAGTGATTGCCCATCAGTGACGGCGGCCTTCACTAGTTTGTGTGGCCTGCCTGGATATTGTTTGCTAGCAGCGTTGCTGTCTCTTTCTGTTGAAGCCTTATTGTTGCTTTCTTTGTTGAAGTGGTCATTACCACTTTGGGTTGACCTCCCTGATTTCTCGTTAAAGCAGCGGTGCTGTCTCCTTTTGTTGTTGCCATTTATATGATTATTGAGGTGTTTGCCTACAATAAAGATCTATTTTATATTAAATACCTCTGCCTGGCGTTCTTTTCATTCCACCTGGATCTAACTGTTACTGTCCCCCACCCTCATCGCCTAGCTTTTAAGTGGGGACGTAACAGATGGATACAAGAGGAAAACCACAATAACAAGACTGGTCCGGCCGGGTTGAGTCAAAAGATGATTTTAATGATCACACGCGTGGGAGATGGACACCGTACGCAGACAGCATCAGATCTCAAAATGGTGGAGCATTGATCAAACTCTTATAGCCTCTAGTGGCCCCCACCTTATCATAAAAGCCTAAACATTCACATGCTTTCTCTCACTCAGCGCCTAAGCTACGACCTTGGCTCCCTGTTTATCTGCTCCTGCTAATCAGACAAATAAGGCGATGACTTTCTGCGAACAGTATTTCTTATAACTCAGCAGTATAATCATCATAAAACAATATCATTCATTCACAATAAATCAGCAGTCTAACGTAATGCAAATCAGTTTAACAAATGCAATAGTTATCACCTTCTTCTAATCCAGGAGAATAATGCAAACTAAAACTACATAATTCACAATCTTTAATTAGGGGTATAACATGGCATAAAATAATATTATAATCCAACAATATTGTGTTGAACTTGAGCTTAGATAAAATAGTGCATGTTTTTAAAGACTGTTTATCAAAACTGCTTTTCCTGTCAATATGTTCTCATCTCATCAGAATTGTGTGCCTATTTGCGTAATAACCAGCTCTGGCTTGTAACTTCACAGATTAAATAGCTTAAATATAAGACTATTTAACATGTTTATATTTAATATAAACAGGTTAAAAAGAAATAAATGCCAAATGTGTGTTGTCATCTGAATTTTTCTATTATTTCAAGGTCAAGATGTAAAATATTTAAAGTTGGAAATGTAACCACGAGTGTGCTAATGATGTTTGGAAAGCATTAAACAATCCAGTCAAGTACCCTCACTGTAAGTCTTCAAACTTTAAGTCCTGGGAGGAGGAGACCTTATAAGAATGGAGTTTGTGCCACCTAGTGTAGCAACTTTACTTTTACACTTTGTCACAAAAAAGCATGGGAATTTAGTATACTGTGTGTTTATTGCTGTTTCTAATCTATGAATTTTAGTTACATACAGTTGTATTTTTCCAACTACAACTCCTGCTCTAAGAGGACACGGATGCCTCTATGAACAACTTTACTAAGGAGTGTCGAACAGGTTAGTCTGTACTGGCGTTACACTGATCTAAACCACACAATTTAAGCTGCAGAGCTGTTTAAAGACTAACATCTAACTAACACTGCCGATCACAGCTCTGCAGAGACATGACTGCAGCTGACGCACAACAAAAGAATTTGTGTTTTACCCGCTGTGTTTGTGTGTCTTTGTGCGTGTCCATGAGATTTACTGGAACATCCGTGCCCTGAGATGACACAAGCCCTTGTAAGTTGTTTGTTAGGAGGATTAATTGTGTTTAAAGACACTAGGACTGTAACTACATTTGTATTTGACGTGCATTCATGAGCAGATTCTTCTGTTTTAACTTTCCTACACTCCTGGGTCATATGTTTCAAATTTCCATAATCTCACACTTCTCACACTCTCACACTTATGGAAAGCAGGTGCAGAATGACTAGTGTCAAAACAATCTCGGTGACCTCTGAGTTTTTTAACTAGAGTTTGTATTACATTGCTCTCCTGGGACAAACATGCAAGTGCAAAACATCAGCTGTAGATCAGCAAATACATGCAGCTCTGTTTTTCAGTTTTGGGAGCTTTTGTTTTTTAGAATTATCTATTTTTAAGATAACACTTAGTCCTTGAATTTATCTGAAAACTCACTGTCATCAGCAAAACAGGAGCCTACTCCAGCCTTGTTGGGTCTTTGTGTTAAGTGAAGCTTTAAAAAATAGAACGATAACCCCCAGTAACATTCTTACATTACACTAGTATTTTCTGTCTTATAGAAATAAACAAAGCTTTTCAAGTCTTTTCAACTCAGCCCAAATTCATTTAGCAAAATCAACCACATTATATATTTACAGAAGATCAGCACAAACGTCATTTTTTTCTGAATTCATTCATTCCTCATTCATTCTTATTAGTAACATCAGGAATCCTGTTTCTTTAAACAGTGTAAATCCTTTTGAACTGCATCTGTTGCAGAGAAAGTACTGCAGAAGAATCGTGTGATTATGACTAAACACAAACACTGTATATACAATGATACAGCAAACTAATTTAACCCAAATATTACATTGTGTACTTTTATATTTATACTTATATAATAGTATATCCACTAGGAAGCTTACATCCTCAGTAGTTTATTGCAGGCAGTTATTGTTGGTTGTTATGAAACAGTGTTTTTCCAGTGTGTTTTGGTAAAATGCCGATAAAGAAACGTTTTAAATACTGAGTCACTGTCAGGATGAGTCAAATGTTTCTGTGTCTGCTCACCACCTCTGAGAGGTGCCAATAAATGACAAAAAACTTCTGGAAAAGTCTTCTCACTGATGTCAAGCCAGAAGCAATTGAACGCAACCATGACAGGAAACATTTTTTTATGTCAAAATAAAAGTCTGCTTTCCGTAATTTGTGGAAGAAGCATGTGGGGGGGAAAGTACATCAGATTTATGAATGAATCTGAATTTAATTTAAATAGCGCGTTAGTGAACACAATAATATCTTTTTACTAAATGCGTCATTTTAAAAATATCAGTTTGTTTTAATTGTTCTTTTTTGTTATTGTTGCTGTTCAATAATTTATTTATTATTTTGTTCTTTTTTGCCTTTTTTTTCTAATCAGCAGAGCAGATGTCAGTGCCAACTATTGAAATGTTGTGCTTTTATATTTTGTAGTGTTGTTACATGATCTTAATCTTCTAGTTTTGGAGGTTTCTGACAGGCACTGTTCAGACTTATTCAGATGATTCAGTTTTTAAAAGAAGGAAAACACGTTTGGCAAGTCTATCCATATTTGTTGTTAAAGGTTTACAAGAGGTAAGTAGAATTACTGAACTGCAATTCCTAAACTGGAACTGAGCAATTTGCATGAAAATATTTTCGTTTTGTTTTCTAAAGGTTTATTTTGAAGCGTATTACAGGAAGTCGGTGTTCACATTGCGGTACTTTTGAGAGCTGGATGCGGCGGCAGCAGCATGCTCGGTCAGTGAATCACATGTCTGCACCGTCCCCGTTATCCGCTGGTATAAATAAGAGCAGCAGCGAGCCTGGGGCAGCTTCGGAGGAGCTGGACTCTCAGGAAACAAACAGAGGTGAGTCAGAGGACCTTTGCTTTTTGCAGGTCGGTGTTTTTGTGTGCAGACTGTGGTGGTTACATTTTTATATAAGCTATAACATATTTAAACAAAACAGAACAGACCTCGTTTGCATTTTTGCAGGTTTTGCAGATGAAACGTCAGACTGTAAATATCACTTCTAACTTATTAATTAAAACCATGTCGTGTTATTTCCTTTCATGCGGTCGTGCTGACTGAAGGTGATTGCTGTTTAAATTGCTTACTCATGGGTGTGACCTCTATCTCTGGATCAAAACAACTGGATTAGGGGGTATGACGTCCCGCTGTGGTTTACTTCAATAACACGCTTCAGCATTTTACGCAGTGCTTGGTGCGTAAATAATAATAAAAACGTGAAACTAAATTATAAATCTGTAATCACATGCATGTTTGCAGGTTTTAAAATGTTAAACTATTAAAGCATTGCTGGATCTTTATCATTATTGTTACATTTTCTGGTTTATAAATAGAAATAGCCCTGACTCCTTCATGCCTATAGGACAGTTAAGTCCTATGGGTGAAGAAGTCCCCAAACACTTTAAATAATGAGGCCAGTGTCCCATTTTTGACAGATTAGTCCATTTTTTTCTTCTTATTTAAGCACCGGGAAAGTCATTAATGGGGGGACAGAAGCAAAAGGAGCAAATCCATCAGGCAAGATATTTTAGAAATACCTGGGTAATTTCACTGTCACTGTAACACTAGTTTGATAAAGAAATAGTAGAATAAAATGAAAGAAATTTAATTAAATCATTGCACAATATTAAACATTTTAAGTGAAATGTGCGAATAGTTGTGCAGCAGTATACTGTAGGGCATCAAGGTCATAAATACAAAGTTATGGTAGTGTAAGCTATTTTAGAGTATAAAGTGTAATTTGTATGAGATAAATGTTACAATAACAAAATGCAAAAAACAAAATTAGCAAGACATTTTGTATTTTTCTGATTTTATAAACGTAAACTACAACATCAGACAAACACATTTGTTGTGTTCCCGATGCTTAAAGTGGCCGAGGTTTGCTTTAAAAATGAACAAAATTACTCTTCAGCAGCCAAGATTTCATTTCTCAGTACTAAATGTCTTTTAATAGTAATCTAAGTGTCAAATAAAATATTTACAATGGTAAATAAATACTTCCAGAAAATAAAGGTGACGTGTGGGAGACTGAGCAGATGTTGATGTCATACTGGTAATGCTGAACTTTCTAGAGGAACATCTGGAGAGGAGGAGTGTTGGTATTTCAGTTGTGTAACCAGGATACTTGCAGCTGTTGTTCAGCAAATAACACAACTGGGCCTGTGCATTGTTAATACTTTTCATTTGCCTAACTTTCTCTCCATCTCTCTCTCTCACACTGTTTTTTCTGTGCTTTTCATGTCAGCATTGCTCATTCTTTCCCCTCACTGAACGTCTGGCCTTACTCATTAGTTTTTTCTCTCATTACAAAAGGCTGGATTGGAAATAGTGTTTACAAACCTTCTAATTCCGGGCATGCTCTAATTAAGCAAAACGTTTAGTATTATGTGGATGATGACCTCACTGCGTTTGCTGTATGTTTAAAAACGCAGAAAGTTCATATAAGCAGCAGAAAGTGGGACATTTTATCTGCTCCCAGGTGGACGTCCAGTCCAGCCCTGCTGGATTTAGAACATCTGATGACATTTTGCAGTTTTTGAAGGACTGAAAAAAATATCCAGGAAGGTTACATCAGCGCTGATTTAAGACTATACTGTGTACTGTAACAAGAACACAGACAATGGACACAAAAAATCTCAATTGAAACTATTTTAAGATGGCATAAACCTTTTCTGATTAGTAATTATTAATTCGCTGTGGGCATTTAGTCATATAGTGCAAGCAGACCCAAAAAGTTTCCAAAGATAGAGAGCTTTCATACTGATTCTGGGGAAGAGTGTGTAAGCTGATCTGCTGGTCATCTTAAATATTCTTATTTGACTGAACCCATGCAGAGTCATGGGTATGAATGGCCCTCTTTCAGTGGGATGATTGAATACATTGAGTAGGAGAGGGTTGTATAAAAAAAGGGAACAGAAAATATAAACATCAACTACCAAACAATGAAAAAGTTCTTGATGGTTTTTGGGATGCATACTGTAATCTGCTTGTTTCCATAGAAACAGGAGGAGATTGTGGGCGAGCGACTGCAAACAAAAACACACTGTAGAAGATGAGCAAGACACTCCTAAGACCTGTGCTTTTATACTGGGTGTGCAAACGCTTTGCTTCACCTGAAGTATCTGGTGCTTGCAGTGTGTCTGCATGAAGACACACTCATTAAGAACAGAACTAGAGGGGTAAATGCGTCGTTGGCTGAATCTTATTTCCAGCAGTTTAGAAGAAAGAAAAAGATGTTCATCTTGTCTCAACATGACAGATTTGCCCATTCACAAATCTTGTAGAAGACATTGGCAATCCTCTACATCAGTGATTTTCTTGATTTTTGGAAACCAACGAATCCCTCTTTAAATGTTTTCACTATACTTTTCTATTAAACAATGTCTGCTTTTTATGTGATCAGTTAGCTCTTTAAGCCTGAAAGCATCTGTGTAGCTACCCTTTTGCTCAATCTAAACTCTAAATCAGGGTGAAGAGCTTCATAAGAGTCTTGAAAAATTCTTAGTCGTAATTCTGCCAAATTTGATCCACAGCAAAAGCTACGTCCGGTTTAATCACCATAGAAATGGGCAGCCTTTCCACTGTGTGCGCCAAGTTCTGCAAACAAAACAAAAATAGCCTTTAAAAAAAAGTCTTCTAAGTAGATTTTTTCCTTTCTGTTATGTTTTGTGTCAAGTAAGCATGCGCATTATCTAATGGTGTGTAATTGTGTAAGTGTGTAATTTTGGTTATTATGGATGGTTAAACACTGAGCTAATCCTGATAAAGACTAATCTCCAGAAGGCTCCAGAAAAACAGCAAAATGAATCAGCAAAGTTCAGCTAGACTGCTGCATGTGGCCATGTGTTTTTAGAGAAAATAAGGATTATTGCTGACTGCAGAAATAATCAGCAGAGATTAGACTCTCACATGGGAGAGATTATTTATGCTGCTTGGGGAAAAGCTGCACAGAGAGGAGAGAAGCCTGGTCCAACTGACTGATGAACTTCTCTGTCTTTGTCCGTCTCATGTCAGCGTGAGCGGGGGGTCATACACCACAGACATCCTCTGCTGAATATGTCATTGTTGGGTGAACGGGCAGCTGACCAAGCACACGTCAGAGAAGAAATGGGTAAATAGAGAAAGAGCCTGCTGTTCTATTATATAATGCCTCTGAAAGGCACTTTGGTCATTGCCGCAGGAGAACGCTGATCTGAACTCAAAACATCCTTTAATGATTGAAACTGGGGACGAATAAGATGTTCATCAGTTTGAATTATTTAGTGTTATTGATTGGTTATTTTTAGCTGTTGCCATGTAAGGGCACAAAACCGCTGAGCAAACGTGATGATTTTTTACTGCGTAGCTCCCCACCTGCTTTTTCTCCAGCTTCCATCGCCCTCTGGTGGAGATAAGGAGTCTGTGCAATGACATTTTTCACAGTCCAGAGTCAGTTTGGACTGAAAGTGTGTTTGATTTACATTCCAGGTCTTTGGCATCATATTCACATCATTACCTGCTGGCCCTGCAAGAGTCAGAGAGGATGCTAATGATGATGATGATGATGAAGAGGAAAGGCTCGAAAGAGTCTTTGACCTTGGTGGCTCTTCTGGTGGCCTCAGCCAGCTGTATCCTTCCTCCGACAAAAGAAGATCTTAACCGTAAGTTTGCAGGGTGTGGAAAAAAGGGTTTAAAGGGCCAGTTCACACAAAAGGATTGATCTGATGGCGTTAACAACTTGGTAGTTACGGAAGTAATGTTAGGGTTATCTAGATAAATAGCTTTTAATAGGGCAACAGATTTCTTTTCATGGTATTCCACTAATAGGAATCTTCCATTAGTGCTATAAAACTAAAGGTATTGAAGATGATGTCATTTTTTTCAAGCATATTTGTTAAAGTTGAGTCAAAGAGCAGCATAAAAGATTAAAAAAATAGTTAAAGGAAATATATAAACAAAAAAGGTGTTAACAATAACCAATAAAAGGCCCCTCAATTAGGCCTGGATATTTAGTATTCATGCAGATCTCCTTGTCTGTCAAATTTCTGTGATTTGTGCAATGCCAAGAGCTTGTAATATGCATGCATTACTGTTATGGAGGTCTGTGTTGTGTCTAGACACAGGGTAGTTGATATTCTATCTGCATGAGCACATTTGTGGTCTGTTAGTCTGCCCTTCAAATGTCTTTTGGTTCCTCCAGGGTGATAAAATACTCTGCAGCTGGGACTCTACAGACTCTGGAGTCTGTGGATGACAGACAGGGTGCTGAGGTTAATTTAATGACTAAATTCTAAATTCATTATTAAAAGATAATGCATAAATGTCCAGGTCTGTGTTACATTTGTGCTGTGATTCTACATACCGGACCGCTTAGGATATGTAGAATAAAATAATCGCCTGAGCAGAAGTTGACAGTGAGCAGAACAAACAGAACAGACGTCATGTAATATCAGTAACATTCAAGGCCATTTTATGGAAGTTAACATTTTCTGCGTGTTGTTTGTGGTTTACAGAGATTTCCATTCAGGGAGAAAAGTATCTGGACAGACAAATTGAAAATGCCATCAATGGAGTGAAGGAAATGAAGAGTGTGATGCAGAAATCTTCAGAGGAGCACAAGAGGTTTTTGGATGATCTGGAGAAAACCGAGCAGAAGAAAGAGGTAGCACTAATATTAAGCACTATATGTTTTAACAGTATCTTTGTTGGCGATGCTCTAGGGAAATAAGTGAAGTAAAGATGTCTAGTGATTTGGGTTTTTTGGGCCACAACACACAGAAAAGTAATTTTTTAATGTTCCAGAGGTTTAGACTTTGTTTTTAAATGTTTAACAGCGAGAAAGTGTTCTCTTTTTTTCACTTAAATCTGTCCGTGCTGCAGATAAGAACATGTTTCCTGAGAGAATTTACTCTAAACTGACGATTCTCACATTTAACACAAAAGGACGAGATAATTATTACCAAAGATGGGGCCAGAATAAAGTTGGATGTTTTAATGTATAGGAAGCGATGCGTACAGCTCAGGAGATGGAGGCCAAGCTGGAGAAGGAGGAGGAGGTTTGTAACGAGACCATGAAGGCTCTGTGGGAGGAGTGCAAGCCTTGTCTGAAGAACACCTGTGTGAAATACTACTCCCGAACTTGCAGCAGCGGATCTGGACTGGTGGGACGTCAGGTCAGACACTAAAGGAGATACAACACTATGCATATTTCATCCTTTCGCCTTCATCATTCTTCTTCTCTCCCCTGAAATATTAAGCCATGAAAGACATTTTAAGTTTGATTTGAAATGATACCTGCTCCTTCGGTCTGCAGCTGGAGGAGGTTCTGAATAGAACATCTCCTTTCTCCATCTGGATCAATGGAGAGAAGATCGACATCCTGGAGCAAGAAGGACAACGGCAGAACAGAGAGTTCAAGAACCTGGAGGAAAAATACACAGAGATGGCCGACGGCGTGGACAACATATTCACAGATAGCATGAAGGTACGGTTTACCTTTGCTTGTTTATGTGCAGGATAAATCTTTAAGCACCACTTCCTCTTTGAACAAGTATACAGCAAACACACTCACTCACTACATCAGTACCAGCATCAGCTCGGTCTCTGTATTTGTTGTTTTCAGGTGGCCGATTATGTGCACTACAGCCCTCCTGTGATCTATTTGCCTAACTTCCTGTCGCCGTACGCTCGCCGCGGCAGAAGCATCCGCTCTCTGTTCCACGATCCTTTCCACGGCTTCCAGAACCTGTTCTCCCCTATGATGGGAATGAGCCGGAACTTCTTCAGTTCCATGGGCTCCATGATGGACATGGACAGTGACACTGTTCCCAATGAGGGTCGGTTTTTCTGTCAGGTTCAATGTTTTTATTCAGAAACTATCTAGAGAGCTATCGGCTGCAGAATCACACATGCTGTAAACTCAAAAACCCCTCGTTTTAATGAAAGTAATGTGTGCTGAGAGCTTTTAAGTCTAACTACAGACTGCCTATAAAATGTGGACGTCGCTTGTGGACCCTTAAGTTGCATTCTTTGTAATGACCAGCAGGGGGGGTTCAACTCATCTGGTTGCAAAAGGTAGTCAGGGTATATAGAAGCCTTTAGTGACTATATATCCACCATTTACTTGATCTTTGATCTCAGTGAACAGGTTCGTGATCAGACTATAGTCTCAAGTAATAGCTTGAGACCATAAACATAAAATTGTATTAATGCCATTAGAGTACCGTTTGGTCTGTGATTTTAGCATGTTGTTAGGCGTTTTTTGTCAAAATGATGATATAATTGAAAATGCATAATTAAGGTTTTGTGGCTATAACTTAGATGTAATATATACCTGTGCAGCTGTAAACGGCATTGCTGCATTGGCTGGTAAATAACTTACTAGGTAATAATTGGTTTAGCTTAAATAAAAAGCAAATCTCCTCTGATTTCTGTGGAGTCACCTGACCAATAGTGACGTTCAGACAAGAAAAATTAAATTCGTGTGCAGAGGCACATCACTGTTGGGTTTTATTTTCACATGAAACGTTCATAACGCGCGTTTGTGTCATTTGCACAGATGGTAACGTAAATGAGGACGTGATCATCACCAAACCTTACGGTAACGGCAGGATGACCTGCAGAGAGATCCGTCGCAACTCAGCCGGCTGCTTCAAGTTCCGCGACGAGTGTCAGAAGTGCAAAGAAATCCAGCACATTGGTAAGATGGTGTCTCGTTCATTGACTAAAACCTTTTATTCCCCCTGTTAACATGGATACAGGAGTAAAAATAGTTAAGATGGAGCATATGGGAAATATTACCAAAATAAATTAAAACATCATCCTTCATTATTTAAAAAAAAAATTATATAAGAAGCCATTTAACAGCTATGAGGGCCTCTTCAAACTGCCTTTCATCTAAATTCGACTGGCAGGAAGCCAGGCACTGAGACCTGAATAATGATCCAGGGATGTCTTGATTAGAGCAGCACAATTAATATTTATAGAGAGTGTAATTTAATCATGTGATCTCTTCCTTTGTGTCGATTATGCTATTGTTACTCTTCCATTAAACGGCAGGACAGAACTGGGCTCTGACACAAAAGCATCTATTTATAGACTCTTGGAAAATACAAAGAGCTTTGTTTTGTTTTTGCGCTCAGAGGGATCCATCAGCTAGTTGATTTGAACTAGCTATAAATTATAGTTTCAATTTTATACAATGAAAAGCAGCTGGAACTCTTTGTTTCCCTGTTTTTCATTTTTAAATCAGTGGCATAATATCAAGGCTCTATGTACGGTTGTCCTAACTAAAATACTCCAGTCTGGACAGAAGTAACGGTCTGCAGTGTCTCTTATTCTTGTAATTCAGGTGTTTTTCAGTCCCATTGCTACATTGTATAAAGTAAAACAGTTAGTCATGCAGTCTGTGAATGAGCGGCTCATTCTAAAGACCTCATTCAATGGAGTGTGGTGCTATTATTGGATGCCACTACTGCAACAAATCAGTTCGGGAAATGACTTTGCATTATTACCACCTACAGTTGATCATGGGAAATCTGGGGGCAAAGTGGAAGAGTTTAGGAACCAAAGCAACTCAGCCACAAAGTTATAAAACAGGGTCGCTAATTGCTGAGGCAAATAAGGCAGAGCTCCAATCCTCCTCTGGCATCAATATCAGCACATAAACTGTGCACCCGGAGCTTCGTAGCATGAATTTCCATGACCAAGCAGCTCCTTTAGGTGTTTGTCTATGTGGCGTATCTGAGATTGAGACCAACAAAACTTGAATGTACAGATGTAGGATCGCAGAGGATGAATAACCGTGACCTGTTAAGGAGTTTTACCACAACCAGCAGGTTGAACTTTTTGCCTTATGTTGAAATATGGTAGTAACTGTTGCAATAGTGAGGGTAAGAAACGTCATGTAGCTCAATTGTTTGGACAAAATTAGCTACATGTATTTCAAACAATTAAAAGAATAAAGAATATATGGGCATTCAGCAAAAAAATAAAAAAAATAAAAAATCCGATGCATTATTGTCTGAATATAAGTAACTCAAATGTATGCTCAAAAAGAAGCAGGAAGACATAAACTACCCCTCTTTCCTGTCTAATAAATGATGGCAATATTCATCCAACTTACCAGTGACCTACCACTGGCCCATATGCACATGCAAGTGCATTCATACCTACACATTATGTGCAGTCTTGCATATATATAATAGTTACAGCTGCTAAATATCAGCGGGTCTGCTTGCCTATAGCATAACTGCAGACTATTCTGAAATTGAAACATGTATGTGTGACAACGCTTTGGAGTTAATGCCTTAGAGATGACTCACTCCCCATCTTGTGTGTAGTACTTGTGAGGATAAGTTTGCCTTTCTTCCTCAATTACAGCAAGCACAGAGTAGTATTTTATTTCATTGTTTACTTTACTTTTAAAGGACTTTTTGGAAAGTAGTAGGTAGAAACAGATGTGCCAAACTAGGAGACTGCATTAGTGGTTGAATTTTTAAAAAAAAAGAGGGGGTGGGGTCAGCATTTATCTAATTAATTTAAGCCTGATGTAGCAGTTAAGTGATTTTCCAACTTTACTCAAGCTCCACGATGATGTTTTTCCCTCACAGACTGCTCTGGGAAGAAACCTCTGGAGGGTCCCCTGAAGGAGGAGCTGGAGGAGGCTCTGGCCTTGGCCGAGCGTTTCACCCAGCAGTACAACTCCCTCCTGAAGAGGTTCGAAGAGCAGATGCTCAACACCTCCTCCATCTTGGATTTGTTCAACAGTCAGTTCGGCTGGGTGTCTTCTCTCGCGAACAACACCAGCGACGGCATCTTCAGTGTTCAGGCGGTAAGCACTGTTGCTTCATTTGACCTTAATTTAAAATATGCAATATTATGGTTGTAATTTGTTATCTAGATATAGTTATGCTTTTCAACACTTCTATTTTTATCACCTGAAAAACTTGTGTTAGGTGTCTAAGTACCAGTATCTGCCAACAGCTATTACAAGACAAAGAAAAACACCAAATCCTGCAAAATTATCCAACTTCTGAAAGATTCCGAAACGATTTTTCTCTTTATCATCAGTCATTTTAATCATTTGTTTCAGCTGCAACTTACAGAAACCCCCTGAAAAGCTAAAACCCCCACCTCCTTATGCTACAGGTGATGTGCAAGGACTCTGAGAAGAAGGTTGATGGGGAGGAGGAGCCTGGAGAAACCAAAGTGAGCGTGAAGCTCTTCGACTCACCATCCATGAACTTCACCGTGCCGGGCGAAATCCCCTGGAACGACCCCAAGTTCTCTGAGGTGGTAGCTCAGGAAGCTCTGGATCGCTACAAGGAAACCAGTGTGTGAGTGTCAGAGAGGACTGCAGCAGGCTGAAAATCATCAATTAAAGGATTATTTAAAAATGTTAGGATTCAAAAAGATTGATTTTATTCATTTCCTTTTTCCTAACCCAGCACTGCTACTTTGACTTGTTGTGACATTGATTTAATGCCCTCCGTGACAGTTAACAGCCTGTGGATAAGAGTTCACAGATCAGTGATAGATTCTGATCTCCATCTCTGTTGTTTCTTCTTCCACAGTGTCGTCAAATAAGCTGGATTTACTCCTGAACCTGCATCGTCTTCTGACCACAGAATGTTCTGGATTCATCAAAACACACCTGAAACCCTGACGCTAACCTAATGTTCCTCTTCAAGTCCTGCTTTTGCAAACGACACAGTTTAACCTCAGAGGTTTATATTGTTACATTAGTCCTGCTGTAAGAGAAGATATTTAGTAGATAACAGCTCCGCTCATGTGTATAGTACTTCCAACAAACGCCCTTGTATTACAGGCAACATGGGGGGGGGG